AATCATTAGTGCTTTAAGAAATAAAACTCTTAAAATTAAATCTGAGACAAAAAGTCATTATGGGGATAACCTGTTTGCTGAGGGAAAAGAGTTTGGTAAGCCTAATTTTCACTGAAAGTCCTTAAATGAAAATAAGAACAAGTGGCATGATAAAAGTAAATCCAAGAATAAGGCAAAAGGCAAGAAATGTTATCACTGTGGTAAGATTGGTCATTTTATTAAAGATTGTTACAAGAAAAAGATTGAAGCAAAATATAAGACTTCTGATTATGGGAATGCTGCTATGGTCTGTAATGAAACTAATATTCAAGATGGTTTAGTCATTGATAATAATGAAAAGAAGCTATGTGAAGAGTGGATACTAGATTCAAGCTATTCTTTTCATATGTGCCCCAATAAAATTTGTTTTCTTGATTTTGAAACTACAACTGGAGGGCAAGTAATAATGTGGAACAATATGACTTGTAAAGTTAAAGGAATAGGAATTGTTAAACTGCTTCTAGACAATGGTAATGTACTATTCTTGAAAGATACATGATATCTACCTGAATTAGAGAGAAACTCGGTGTCTTTAGGCATGTTGAATGACATAGAGTTTGACATAAAATTGAGTCAAGGACATATTAAAATTCTTAGGGGATTTGACTTAGTCATTAACACCTCTAAGAGATATGGTCTTTATTTTTTGAATGCTAAACATTTACTTGGCTTAACTGCTACTGCTTTATCTGACACCTTTACTTTAGCAAAATTATGGCATGAAAAACTTGGCCACATTGGCAAGAAAAGTTTGAAGTCTTTACAAAAAAAAAAAAGGAATTTTTGGGAAAAAAAAACCTTGGTGATTTTGGTTCCTGTGAACAATGTGTTATTGGCAAATAAGTTAAGTTACCTTTCTTATCTAGAATTCATATATTCAAACAAAAAATTGAATATTTACATGCTGATCTATGGAGTCCTGCCTCAGTGATTATCTTAACTGATTTTAGATATTATCTTTTAATCATTGATGATTTTTTTAGAAAAATCTAAGTTTTCTTATTAAGATCAAAAGATGAAACCTATTTTGATTTCAAGGATAGAAAACACAAATAGAGAACCAAACTGATCATAAGATAAAGATTATAAGAACAGATAATGTTTTGGAATTTTACAATTATGAATTCAATAATTTTTACAAAGAACATGGCATTTTGAGATATAGAACAGTTGTTTACACTCCTCAGCAAAATGGCATAGCTGAAACAATGAATAGAACTTTATTAAGTAAAGTGAGATGCATGCTTTTGAGTTCTGGTTTACCTAAACTATTCTGGATGAAGCTGTAAAAACGGTTGCTTATCTTGTAAATAGAACCCCTACTGGTTCTTTAAATTTTGAAGTGCCTGAAACTGTTTGGTCTGAAAATTCTGCTAACTATTCTCACCTAAAAAAATTTGGCTGTGCTGCATATGCTCATCAAAATATTGGTAAATTGGAACCCAGATCACTTAAATGTGTTTTCTTGGGTTATGATGAAAATGTTAAAGTTATAGACTTTGGGTTAAAAATG